TGCGCCTTTTAGTACGGTGCGCCTTATGGTCGTGAAAATACGGTAATCTAATCTTACAATAATATTGTATCGCCAACACTGACGGGGAGTCTGATACGAACAGCAAGGGAACCGTTACCTCTGCTAACTGGATTTTCCACTAAAGCAACAGAATATTTCGTTTCATTTAAAGTTCTTCATCACGTCTCTGTGCATCACTCTGACTGGGCGGCTCTAGACTCAGTCCAGGCGGCTTTTTGGTGTTTTTCTAACAGCAGAACATTCCTCCTGATTTCTCAGTACAGGCCGAGAGAGATCAGTCTGCCACCATGGGGGCGAATAAAACCGGGGACAAGCTCCTTGGAATTCATCTCAGGGTTTGGTTAGGGAGCCGACTTTGAGTCCCTGAAGGGATCCTGACCAGAAACATTAAAAGGCATAAGACTTTGGTCTCTTACTCGTTCCAGAAGCGAAAGTGTTGCTTTCAAGGCCCCATCTGGTCGTCCAAAGGGAAAGCAGTACCTGCAGAGGAGAAACGTAGGTGGGCATCACATTAAGAAACAATCTCAAGGACAACTATGTGGAAAAAAAAAGAGACAAAGAAAGATTGGAAAGCTGGAGGAGCTCGGCGTAAACAGATGGCTGCCTTCTTTTGTCTAATTACTCTGATGAAAGGAGCTTTTCTCACCTCCGTCTCCATCTGAACACAGATGAGGCGGTTCATGAAGGTTTCACGTTGCTAATTGACAAGTGAACAGTACTTAATAAACAAAGGAAGGCGGTCACACAGGTCGGCCATTTATGAGACAAAAAAAAGCCCAGCATGCAGATGTTCTGTTCTGACGATCAGAAGTGAACTAAGCAGATAAAAAAAGAAAAAAAAAAAAAAAAGCCATAATGTTTGTCTAAACATTCAGCATAGTCAGAAAGACAAGAGTTCATGATGTTCATTTCAAATGAAAAGCCCTGAAAAATCAGGAAAATAAAAAAGTTTATTAAAGGTATGCAATCATAATTCAAAAACACATTTTCATTCAGTTATTTTAACATCAAACTGTGATGATAGATTAGAAAATACGGTTTATCTTATTACTTATTCCCTTTAGATGAAAGCTGCCACATTTCTAAAGATCTAAAGTGGCTTCTTAACGTCACCATTACAACATTGATAAATGTTGTAATCTGCAGTTCCCAGATAGCCGTCATCCATCTTTCATTTTCAACATCTAAACCCTGAATGGAGCTGAAACAGATCAGCTGGTTGGTTCTACCAGCAGCTTTCCAGATCTAAAAACATGATTCTATGCACATTTGATGCAGAGTTTCTCTCAAATAAAACCTGGTTTAGGCATAAAAAGGAGCTAATTGTAAAGAAAAATCTCTGTCAGCCTCTATTTAAATTCGGATTTAGTCTCGGCATATATTACATATTTAAAGGAAAAGTCCGGTAATATTCAGAATCCAAACTTCTGAAAGTTCTTTAAATATTAAATTATTCCATCCTGTTCAATAAATGATCAGAGTTTTTAATTCAGAGTAATTTTCATGTGAATGTGCTTTACTGGAGGCATCCATGTTTGTCAAA